CTGAATTTCCAAATAAAAACATTCTCAGAATTTTGATTCGGAACGAAACAAACTGCACATGTCTACTGTGGACCCCGAAATAAAAAAGAAGGCTCTAACAAAATATAATATACCTCCCCATGAAAATAAACCACGAAACGCTATACACCCAACCTAGTGTTTTAACCTAGCAGAAAAAAAGAAAAATATGGATAGACGTGAAATAGAAAATAAAAATAAGCCAATAAAACAACAACAAACAATAAATTGCAAGGGAGGTGGGCAGCAGCTAAAGTTTTTGCTGACACACACAAATGATAGTCCTGAAAAAGCCTGCTAGGTCTGTAAACAGGAAGGCTACACAGGAATTAGTAGACTGTCACACTGCAATCCACAATTTAGCTCAGTATAGCACAGTATGAAGCAAAGAGGGCAACCAACCCTTTTATATTGATGGGGCCAATACTGGTCATTGCAACTCTGCTGACCAAGGTTGAAAGACAGTCCATTATGGTTACAAAGAGTTTGGTCAGACCACGAATTTTGAACACGCTGAAAAAGAGCAAACCCAAACCACATCCCTATGCAGTATGAAGAATAAATATATAAGCAAATCCTATGTTTGCAGTGACACACTTCTAATAGGAGAATGGCTAAACTGTATTATCTGGGTATTAAGCTGGATTATCTGGTATTGAACAAACCAAACATAGCAAGAATGTAGACACTTCCTTAAAAGCTGGAAGCAATCCAATACTTAAGTGCCAAGTAGGATTTGGCAAAAATATTGAATGTTATTATGTACACAGTAGTAAAATTATTTTAAACCCTTTGATCTCACGAGATATACAGGATATTGTTGTCTGCATAGGTGTTCAAAAATCAGTAGTATAGAATATGTGCTCTTTAATATTATTCCTTATTTGGAACTTTCCTGGTAAATATTTTGCATATATGTAATTGTGTACATACAGTATTTTTGTATGAAGAACAGTTTTCCCAGAAACCATCTGATAGCAGATCCTAGATGAATGACTCTAATAATGTTTATCTCAGGCCTGTCAAATTGGTGTTTTGGGTCACTTGTGGCCCTTTACTCTTTCTTAAAGTGATTTTAAACCCTCACCTTGTAAAACAACCCAAGCAGTTTAAAATAAGAAAAGGGAAAACATTTGTGTATAAATATTAAAACATTATAATTACCTTTTTTTCCTTTATTAATAAAAAGATCACATATCCTCTGTTCTCACTTGCATAAGAGCTGGGGGAGGAGAAACGGCATTACACAGATCTTCCCAGTGAAAGGCTATGCAGGGAGTGTGTGTCAGGACAAGTCTGATCATTGGAGGATAGCAGGCTGAGTTACAAGCATAGAAAGAGAACTGACTACTGTGTGTTCTCCTGGTTAGTTTTTAATAGAAAAGCAGAGGGGCTGGCAGGAACACCAGGGATTTCACACACAATACAAAGCGAACAGGATATTTTTTCCATAGAAGTACATAATACAGCAGGCACATTTCAGGGATATGAAATGCTGGACTTACCTATTCTTTATTTGCCCTCAGTGGTTTAAGAATGTTTAATAATTGAGGCCCCAGGCTGTTTATATACGGCAGCATAAAATGCCTAAACTTTCATACACACCTCTAAAATATTTTCTGGGGCATTGGATGCAACATTTTAGAGACACTGTCATACTGCCCATTTAAGGCAAGGTAACAGTGTCTTTGCAACTTTCCTCTCATGTAAGAGTGCTTGGGTCTAGCAGCTATTTGCTAGGCTAGTGCACACAAAAGAAGTGATGTTACCGCTCCCCAAGTATCTGACACCAGCTGCCACTTAAAATTAAAGCGCTGGCAGCAATAGAGCAAGGAGCGGCAGAGAGCACCGACAAGGGGAGTATCAGTGGATCAAAGGGCCTCTTTGCAAAGGTATTGTCACAAGGTGATTATGTCTCTTAAATCTGCAGTTATTATTTTAGTTAATGAAGTGACGTAGTACTGTCTGCAAGTGCTTGACTACAACCCCTAGATTTATGTTGGACAACTGTAGAATTATTCTTTTCCATTTGGCAGTTTCATTTCAATTTCTTGGAAAAGCAAAACAATTATCTAGACAACCCTAGGAAGGGCAAAAACAGCCCAAATTTTGCTAATAATGCTCAGGCAGTTACTGTGATTGGGACATTTAGGGCAATCATAATTTGTGTGTAATGCTACACTACACTGTGTGGAGCAGCACAGTGGGTAAATGGTTAGCACTTTCACCTGGTTCAAATACCAACCATGGCACCACCTGCCTGGAGTTTGATTGTTCTCCCACTGCCTGCGTGTTTCCTCCGGGTACCTCAGTTTCCTCCCACACTCCAAAGACATGGTGGTAGGTTAATTGGCCCTAGTATGTGTAAGTATGAATGAGTTGGGGACCTTAGATTGTACGCTCCTTGAGGGTTAGGGACTGATGTCAATGTACAATATATATATGTCTGTGTGTGTAAAGTGCTGCATAAATTGACGCTATACAAGTACCAGTAATAAAATAAATAATAAACCTTGCAGATTTTTTGTAGGTTTATACAATGTCCTGATAAATTCCTTAAAAACGGTATCCCTTGTTTGTGCACAAAATATACATTCAAAGCCTAGACGTCAGAATATCGCTTTCTTCCCCGAAAGTCCAAAATAAAGTCTTTGACAGCATCTATATGATCTTAAATAACCCCAATAGTGATGTAGTATTCTTATTTAGTATTTTTCCCCATACGTGATTGATACTCCTTCCTCCAACTGTTACCCCTTTTTACTTGAAAACACCTTATAACAAATTCCACCAACGAAGTTGCTCCAATACACAGCCTCTTATTTCATCCTCCCCTTCATAAGAGATGTACCCTCCACAGAAAATATAGTGCGATATCCTCAATACCTCTATAAATAAAAATACCTCTATCCACAATGAAAAAAATGGTTTGCCTATAGTTATTATACAGGATTTATATAGCATCAACAGTGTACACAGCACTTTACAAAATGATACTTCTACTTCGTTACAAAGCTAGAGGGATTGTCCAGCAGTTTCAGAAGTCTCCTTGCTTCACAATCACAACTTCTTTCTTGGTTCCTTCTGCCCAGCTTTGAAATTTGGCATAAATGTAGCCTCAGGCAAACAAGAAATTCTGCATTCACTTCATATTGTTTTGCAAAGCTGTAATTAGTATCCTGATGTGTGCTGAGGTTTCTTTTCAGACAACATTGTAATATTTGTACACATCTTGTGTACTTTGCATAACCAAAAGCCAAGTAGATTATACGGTTAGTCATTGGGGCAGATTCACTAAAACTGGAATGTACAAAATCTGGTGCAGCTCTGCATAGAAACAATCAGCTTCCAGGTTTTGTCAAAGCTTAATCAAAGTTAGAAGCCGATTGATTATCATGCACCAGTTTTAGTATATCTCCCTCCTTTCTCCAGTCATTTTATTGCACTATAGGTCTTCAGCATTATGTGTAGAACAGCATGCAAATCTTATTGGGGGCATATGTACTGCTGGGGGTATGATTATAATAATGTTATTTACTCAGCAGTGTCCAACATTCTATCAGCCAGCTCTCTCCACTTACAGTGCATCAATTAGGTTTCCCCCCCCCCCCATGTGCTGGCTTTTATGGTCTCTAAATATCAAGCTCTTTTGTGCTTAACAACTGAGCTAGGGTAATGTACTACAGACTTTGCTTGTTTTCCATGGAATATGCAAGAGCTTTCTCCAGCACCACACTTCAAAATGAATCCTTTTGTCTAGTTCTTCTTCATGGTCCAACTTTCACAGACATAGGCCGCTTTGGAGGACATAATATTGTGAACCAATCTGCAGTTGGTTTCTAGGCTAGTATCCTTCCTTTTTCATATATTACAATATTGGCATATCCATTTCTTACAGTGGTCATGCTATTGTTCTTTTTGATGTTCAAGGAGGCCAAACCACAGGCTCTTTTAATCACCTTTCAGGCCATCTTCAGTTTCTGAGGGGAGAGTTGTCATCAGCCAGTAGATTAATGGTCCCTCCTCCGATTGTGTAAGTACCATCTTCTTCCTGATCATTTCCACAGGTTGAGAAAGGGGGGAAAATGCAACCTTGCCCTATTCTCCTCTGGAACCTGAGCTATAGCACAAACATCTGACACATGTGATGGTCAAACCCTTGACTGGAGAGTTATTTGAGACAAACTGTCCAGTTTATTCTTGATAGGTCTCCTTTAGTTGTGAGCCCCAAAATGTATTATAAGGATAGTTTTATAAGATTCTATATTGCAGTGGTAACAGTTAAGTTTTTTTTGACAAGTACTAAACACCCAGTCTCTCTACATTGTCAGAGTGGTAACAAAGTTAATGACAGTCTTCCTAAATAGCAGATGTCCTGGAATGTTTATTAAATTTGTGACAAGTAAAAACATATCGAGACGCTTTCTTGGAATCCTTAATAAATCAATGCCCATCCCTCAGCTTCTTGGATAATACCCACACACGGTTATGTTAAGTGTCCACTTTAACACAGCTACATAGTTGTAACCTTTCATACCCAGCAACATTTGTAACTGCTCCTTTTGTGCTGGACAGTTGGAAAGAATGAACAGACATGTGTACGAATTATTAGCAGTTGCGTTGTCCTCATGATACCCTCAAAAAAGGTTAGAATTAAAGTGAAAGTTGAAAACTTAACTGTAAAAAAAAAAAAAAAAAAAAAAAAAACCCCCCACACACACCACACTTCCAGCGACAAATGTTTAGTGAATAGAATATTTATGTTAATCTGATTTTTCACAATACAATCTGATCCTCAGAGTGACATCTTACAGCCAAATTCATTTCACCATTATTTTTCATTCAATAATACTTTACTACATTCACTGGCTGATGAGACACAATCTAAAATATGGACAAATACAAATAAAAATATAAATTGTAAAAAGTATCTCATCACACTGGTTCCCTCCTTGAAATAAATAAGGCATCAAATTCAGCAATTAACAAGAACTTGCACTTTTAAGATATGCTATCAAGTCTTTCCTCTCTGCCGCCTTCTTGATTCCAGCAAAGATCATTTTTGTGCCAGGGATGTATTTCTTAGGATTTTCCAAGTATTCATTAAGGGTCTCCTCAGTCCAGATAATACCTGCAAGGAGATGGAGGAAGAGCAATCATGCATTTTACAAAAGACATACAGCCAGCACTAAGCTACAGTTCTGTAGCCTGAACAGGACTTTCTAGTGATCTCAAAATTAGCAGTTTTTAGGCCATGCTTACAGAATGCAATATTTCCAGGCAAAGATGGGTTATATGTTGTCCTTATATGCCAAACAATTATGTAATACTGTATTAGGCCATTTTGTGATTTTACAAAAAACATAACAGAGCCAGGTAGGTGAAACCATTTCCTATTAAAGGTTTATTGTAACAAATCCCCATCACCTACCCTGGTAAACTGGCAGTCAAGAGGAAGGGTCAGCCGCACACCAGAGGATAGATGACAATAGTGTGTATTTATTGAGCCGTAGGACACACAAAACACTAAGATATAAATACAGGTCCTGTGTTCATGCCCTAGTATTTATTGATCCATAGGGGACACAAAACACTAGGACATGAACAAAGGACCTGTATTTATGTCTTAGTGTTGTGTGTCCTATGGATCAATAAATACACACTATCGTCATCTATCCTCTGGTGTGCGGCTAACCCTTCTTCCTATTGCATAGTGTGTGGTGGCGAGCCAGAGCCTGTACCTGTTTGATCTGGATTGTTTGCCAGTTTAAATCCAAAGAACAAAAAAGGTATACCGCTTAGGCAGTCACCTTGTGTGATATGGCAGATTTGACAAGTAAAAGAGTAAACCTATTTCAGATACAGTTCAAAATGCATTAACCTTTCAGACCAGCATCTTTCCTTTGAGTGATAAGATGTGCTGATGATCTGGAATTGGATGTATTCTGACAAGCTTGTACATATGTTGGTCTGTGAGTATATCACCTATTTTATTAATACAGGATACCATAGGATAATGCACTAGGCTGGTATGCCCTCTGTTTTATGGTTGCAGCGTATCTAGACTACCCCAGTCTTTAGAGGGCAGCAAAGTGTGCATGTCTGATGTCTATGGGATCCAAGCGTGGAATAAAAACCACACAATGGCCTACAGCATCTGAGAACCACTTTCAAATACAGGAGGTTTACGTTTGGCAGAGATTGCACCCATAATCCACCGACTGTTTGTAATGCTTTGTGGGTTCTAAAAAAACATGCTTTTACTTTTCATTATTGTGGGTGAATTTCTAAAAGGTGTACTATGCCTTAAAGCAGAGCTAAAAACTTTGCTTTCCTTCATTAGGCCCTGTCCATTGCTGGCATTTTCTTCTGGATGCCAGTCTTTGGCCAGCGTGGTCCCTGTGTGCTAGGAAGAATTACATCATCCCACAACGGCCAATGAAGATGGCCAAAGACTAGCATACAGCAGAAAATGCCAGCAAGGGAGGGGGGACCACTGAAGAAAAGCCAATCATATGCAGCACAGCTTATATGTCTAGCAGGACAGCAAGTAGTTTGTGACAACAGAACTTTAGTTAAGCTTTAGGTGAAACTCAAGCCAACAAACATGATTCACTTTTATCATTTCCTCAAAACTGATTACTTAATTACTTGAAGTCTTTCCAATGTAAACCAGTGCACATCAGAAAGCAAAGTGAACATGGCCAGATGGTGAGCCAATCATACTCTCTCAAGTATTCTATTATAAAGGATTTATATAGCGCCAACAGTTTGCTCAGTGCTTTACAATATAACGGGAGACAATACAAGAGGGATTTGAGGGCCCTGCTCCTTGGAGCTTACAATATAGGAGGGAGGGGCTAGTGGTACAAAAAAGTAGTAACTGCGGGGGATGGACTAGTTGGAAGAGTAGAAGATTCCAGTATTAGCTGAGGGCAGGATAGGCTTCCCTGAAGAAATAGGTTTTCAGATATCGCCTAAAAAATGAGCAGAGTAGGCGATAGTCTGATAAATTGTGTTAGAGAGTTCCAGAGGATGGGGGAAGTCCTGGAGACGAGCATGGGAGGAGACAAGGGAGCTAGAGAGTAGGAGGTTGTGCAAGGAGCAGAGAGTACGGTTTGGGTGATATTTAGAGATAAGATCGGTGATGTAATTTGGGGCAGAGTTATAAATGGCTTTATACGTTATTGTTAGTGTTTTGAATTTTATCCGTTGGGCAACGGGAAGCCAGTGGAGGGACTGCCAGATACAGAATGTTAGTAAGGTGGATGAGTCTGGCAGCAGAATTCATGATAGACTGAAGAGGGAATAGCCTGCGATGAGGTAGGCCAATGAGGAGGGAGTTACAATAGTCAAGGCGAGATATAACAAGTGAGTGAATAAGTTGCTTAGTGGTTTCCGAGGTTAGGAAAGGTCATATCTTGGAGATGTTGTAGGTGAAGTCTACACAATTTGGACAGCGATTGGATTTGGGGCTGAAAGGACAGATGGGAGTCTAGGATTACACCTAGTACCCTGGCATGAGGGGAGGGACTGATGATTGTGTTATTGATCTTGATGGAGAAGTCAGGGGAGGGGGCACAAGCTGGAGGGAATACTAAGAGCTCAGTTTTGGAAAGATTGAGTTTGAGGAAGTGGAGTGATATCCATGCCGATATGTCACTTAGTTTAGTAATGCGAGAGGAGACTGAAGGGGTGAGGGGGGGTAGAAAGATAGATTTGTGTGTCATCAGCATAGAGATGGCACTTAAAGCCATGGGAGTTTATCAAGTGACCAAGGGAGGAGGTGTAGATGGAGAAGAGAAGGGGTCCAAGGACAGAACCTTGAGGGACCCCTAAAGAGGAGGCAGCGTTATAGGTAACACTGAAGGAGCGCTGTGATAGGTAGGAGGAGAACCAGGAGCAGAGTCTGAGGCCAAGAGAGTGGAGTTTTGAGGAGGAGGGGAAGGTCAACCGTATCAAAAGCTGCAGAGAGGTCAAGTAGTAAGAGTATGGAGTAGTGTCCATTGGTTTTAGCAGTTAGTAGATCATTAGTGAGTTTTAGTAGGACAGTTTCAGTGCAGAGAGTGAAAACCAGACTGTAAAGGGTCAAGAAGGTTGTTGTCGGTGAGGTGGGAGCTCAGGCGATTGTAGACTAGGCGTTCTAAGAGTGTAGAGGTAAATGGCAGCAGGGAGATGGGTCTTAAGTTGTTCAGGTTGGTGGGGTCCAGCGAGGGCTTTTTAAGTATAGGAGTGATGTGCGCATGCTTTAGAGGGGGGGGAAGGCACCAGTAGAGAGGGAACGATTGAAGATGTGAGTGAGGGAGCATAGGATGGAAGAAGAGGGTGACCATAGTAGTTGAGGGGGACAGGATCCAGGGGGCAGGTAGCGAGACGGGCTTCTGAGAAAAGCTTAGTGACCTCTTAGGTAGTAGCAAGATCAAAAGAGGAAAGTGTTGAGGAAGGTTTAGTATAATTTTAGATAACCCTCATCCCACCAGGTACCAAAAAAGGTGAGAAGGCAGCAGAATGGAAGGAATAGAGGCTATAAATGGTGGTGGCTAGAATTTGGTTAATTAACATGGCTGGACTATGTAAACACTTTGGAAGTATAAAAGTGTACATATGCATAACTGTTTACTTGCTTGAATAGCATTCTTCTACATTTAACAAAATTACAGGCTGCATTAACAGGACCCAAACGGACGCACACCAGCATAGGAGGTGTATATACCAGTCACCCATTTATCTTACATTTACTTAGTCCAGAACATGATTTAGCTGCAGTGTTAGCACAGTTGCTGCCTGACTTCACACTTGGAAGGTGGGAGACACTGTGTGAGGGTTTTTAGAGCCCTGGGCATGCTGGAAACCAGCTGGTTGAGGTACACAGATCCTGTTCATAAGGAATCCATAGAAACAAGTCATCACAAATGCTTCCACTTACCCTTGTTTTTGTTTGCATCAGTATAAGAGAAGCCGTCGGCTTGACCGGTTTTGCGGCCAAAGAAACCATACAGGTTAGGTCCGACCTTGTTCTTGCCTCCTTTTTCACAGACATGGCACTGAGAGCACTTCTGGACAAAGATCTTCTTTCCCTTCTCTGGGTCTCCCATGGCTATGATCTAAGGTAATACATTTCAGTAAGAATAAATCATGCAAAGCGTGTGTAAACTCCAGCATTATGGATATTGTATTTGCTCCCTTTTGCTTTGTTACATATACTATTCAAGAGTGTTAATATATAGCTGAGGGAAAAAAAAAAAGCAGCTGTACCTCCTACAAGTAATCTTGATAACCTCCTGTGATGTCTGCCTCTGGACTAATACTAGTTGGCACTGCTAAGTCCACAGACTACAAAACAACAACCTCCTGTTATGGAGAAGGAAAGGAGGTGGTTCCAACACAATTCCTATCTTGAGGTGACAACGCAGCTCAGTACAGAAGTCACCCAAGTACAGGGGGTTAATGGCAGAATTACCAGGCTAAAATAAAGGAAAAGTGAAAATAGAAACGAATGCAGCCATTGCATCTAAGGAAGGGTAAGCTGCAATATCAATTCTTATTCCTGGGTTTAGACTTTTTGTAGTAGCTGGCAAATTTTTCAATAAAGATTGTTTTGTCTGTGTGGCCCCACTGTAGAGATTTCGCTCACTTCCTGTCTATTACAGTAAGACAGGAAATCACAGTAACACCAGGCATACAAGCCTGGCAGAGGTACCAACCACTACTTGATACCTTTTGCCTTATGTCCCTGGAAGGGGGGGGGGGGGTTAGATGTAAATCTACACCAGTCTATAGTGCAAGGGTCTGCCTGACTGGGTACAGACAGACTGGATAGATAGGGAGATTGCTCAAACTACATAGTGTTGGTACTTCTAAAAGAAGATTGTAACATGTATTGTGACACTAAAGCTGGCCATAGTTCAAATCTTGGCCGGTTCATCTATGGACATGCTGATTGTGCTCAAGTCAATCTATGAAAGTCAAGTTTTTATTTCCTATGATAGAGAGGTTTTATATAATTTGACTAGATATATATATATATATATATATATATATATATCTCTATCTATCTTTATTTTTACATTCAATACATGCAAAAAGTTATTGAAGTCAAATATATCTAAAAAAAAACCACTACTATTTAGATTTAACCTCTAACATTTTGTATTGAATGTAAAAGAATTTAAAACACAGAATATAACTGGATACTAATTTATAGGTAAAGTTGATCCAGGGAATATCCAATTGCCTCTCGGGGGATCAGAAGGAATTTTTTTCCCTGCAGGAGCAAATTGGATCATGCTTTGCTGGGGTTTTTCCCCTCCTTTGGATCAATTGTGGGTATAGGATTAAACTTTTTTTTTTTTTTTTAAATGGTTGAACTGGATGGACTTTTGTCTTTTTTCAGCCAGACTATGTAAAATGTTAAAATTTTGTATATTTTATTTTTTTCCGCTCCTTTCCCTAAATAATAAAAAGGTGCAAATACAAAAAAAAAATTATAAAAATAGTATATATTTAACACCCAAGACTTGACATCAATTTTTCACATTAAACAAAAAAAGTTTTTAATTAATTTATATTCATTAAATACAAAAATGTTACAGAGGTCAAATATCTATCCCTCCCCCATTCCTTCCTCTCCAGATGGAAGAGGTGACCTATAGAGAATGGCGGCCTTCCCTCCCTCGGCCTATATGAAGGCCCCCGTGACCTTCTCAGGGGTCATCAGTAACAGGGAGCTCCTATAGACTGGTTATAATGGGGGAGATCCATCGTCTGATCAGACGTCATAATTCCCATCCACACAGCTGATATCAATGAGTGGGACGGAAGCCGGCACTGCTGTGATATGAATGAGAAGAGTCCAATCCCCGGCTCTATACCCAGCCACCACTCCGTCCCCACACACGTCCTCTACCCCCGGGGGATGGAGCCCAGATCCGGCTCACAGTGCACCCCATGGAAGGCCTTGCCGGTGATGAGAACAGCGCGGCATGTGCCGGCTCCGGCTGACACAAGGTCACCCCAGCACAGGTGAAACGCTTCTAATATGTACAGTGAGAACGGAGAGGAGTCTCTATGGAGAGGAGCCCCCGGCCGCCATAGCTTACCGCACCCTCTATGGACTTCCACCAAGACGATATACACCGCAGCCAACCACGAACTATCTCCTCCCAAGGACACGCTGTACCAACCCTTTGTAACCGGTGTTTATGCAACCAGACTTACGTACTGCGTGCTACGTTTACAATCCCCGCCCCCAGTATTGCCAACCACCCAATCGCCTCCACTCCCCTTCTCTTTTCATTGGTCCGCTCCACCGTAACCATACTAGGCTGAACAAACGGAGGAAGAGGCGTTCCCAGGAATTACGGAAGCCCGCAGGCGCCGTCCCGTGACGTAAGAAAGGGCAGAGAGGTGGGTCTTTCTAAGAAGCCGCTGATAAGAATGTTACGTGACTGGAGATAGTGCGCATGCGTACTGTGATGAGCTCATTTTTAGGGAAAGATGGTTTGGGGCATTAGAAGACGTATCAGAGATCGGTGTGCTTCTAGTTGACGTTTGGTGTTATAGAAATGTGTAACAATCTAAGTGTCACGCTTCACCAATATACATTGCTATACAATAAAATAAAACAGAACACAAACGTAATGTGCAGGAAATCAGATCTGGCCTAAACATCTATACAGGGGAGTATTTAGGTCTTGTGCTGCCATAGGCAACACAAAAATCGGCGCCTCCCCCCACAGAGAGGGCCTGACGTTGACCAACAACACCCCTTCCCCCCCCACCAGAGAGCCTGCCACTACCACTGTCCCCCATACACCAGCCACCATCCCCCATTGCAAGAGAGAGACACTCACCCTAGCAGCTCCGGACATCCCTGGGAATGAGAGTCGGGCTGTGCATACAACATCATGAAACTCGCAGCGTCTCTCGGAACCCACCAGGTCCCCATGCCGCGTGTGTCCCTTTGTCCGAGGGGCAGTGCTACCCCCCCCCAAAAAATGCCGCCCTAGGCAAATGCCTTGTTGTAAATACACCCCTGCCTCTATGTTTGAACTAGGCCTAGACTGCCATGGAGTGTGTCCTCACAGACAGAACATGCTTCAGCTCCAAAGTGCCTTGTACACACCCAGCGCTTCCATAATATGCCACCACAAATGTTCCTGTGTGTCCGCCTCCAGCGCTTGTGCTCTCACCTGGTATATACCACCAAACCGCTAGGTCAGGCCATAAATCACATGCATCCCTCAGTATGGGAATGGGTACATTCTTCCAATGAGTGCCTCTCTTTGTTCTCCTTCTCCACACACCTCCACCATCATGTTTACACAGGGAAGAGGTGACCAGAACAGGTTTTTATCCATATAAAACAACAGTTTTCCACTCAATGAATGAAGTAAAAATGCGCTTCATATAATAAATCTCCAGTGATATATGATTGTGTGATTGTAGATCCTCTAACCTCAAGCTTACAGCCGGCTATATCCTCAATCCTGTTCCTGCGAGTGTCGTGACATCAAAGCCCCTTCCCTACGCGTTACGCCAACCGGGTCACATGGCTTCATCAGGGGGAATGATGAAGCCACGTGACCTGATGGGGGATGGGCTTTGACATCATGACGGTTTACATATATATTGTATATTCACATCAGTCCCTAACCCCCGAGGGACATACAATCTAAGGTCCCTAACTTACATTCATACATACACATACTAAGGCCAATGTACAGGATTCAATTAACCTAGCAGCATGTCTTTGAAGAGTGGGAGGAAACTGGAGTACCCAGAGGACACCCACAGGGAGAATATTCAAACACCAGGCAGGTGGTGCCGTGGTTGGGATACAAACCAACGACCCTAGTACTGCCAGGCAGAAGTGCTAACCATTTAGCCACTGTGCTGTCCATTCAACCTATCCAAGTGAATTGGGAATGCCACAAACACTCCACAACTGTGTGCAATGCAAATGGTTGTGGCATGTTGATGTGACATTTACGGTTGTAAAACAGGCAGGGAGGAGACGATATATCACCTCCTCTCTGCCTCATCTATCAATTACCTCTGAAAAGTGATCTGAATGTGGAACACCTTTAATAGGTGCAGCTGTTTAAACACAAGCCTAAATCTAGCCTAAGGGAGCTGACTGAACAGGCAATTATCGATGTGGGATGAGTAGATTGTATATTGTTTTCAGCAATGCAGATGATAGTGAATTGGACCCCTAAGGCTGCCATATACGAGTCAACTTTCTGGACACCTCAACCACTACCAAATGACTGAGGATGGAATACAGGCATAACTCCCAACAGTCCCAGATTATGCTGGAATGTCCCATGATGTAACAGTACTGGTGTGCCGTGGATCTGGGATCTGTCCTGCTGCTGGCTGGGGCTGTAAGACTCATTCCTGTACTCAGCTTCAGCTTCTTTGCAGTTCTGTTGGGTGGAGTGATCTTCTGGCCATCAGGAACACTTTACTTCCAGCAGAATGAGGCAGCCGTGTGGGCCATGTGAGTCATGAATAGGTAAGTAAACTACAGAACACCAATGTCCTCCACTGACACTAATGGCTTCCCCCTACCTCAACGGACACCAGTGCCCTCCCTCACCTTGCCTCAGAGTACCATTGTCCCCCTTGTCACCATCTGAGCACCAAAGCCCCCCACTGACACTAATGGCTCCCCCCTACCTCTATGGACACCATTGCCCCCCCCTCTCCCTGTCTCATTGTACCATTGTCCCCTTTGTCACCCCCTGAGCACCAATGCCTCCTCTCTTTATCCTCATTGGGGTATTTTTACCTTCCAATGATGCTGAACATTTTTTTCCTGCCACTGACCACCAATTCCGGCCATTTTTCTTCCCCCTGACCAGTGCATGAATTATCATCTAATCAACAAACTGCTACACCAGTTAATGATGTAACACATGCTTGTTTTTGCTGAAATGCCAGAGGAATATGGCTGTACTACCACTTTGGACCACCCCATATACACTGGCAATGCCACCCCCATTAGAGGAAGATACTGAAACATTCCCCCAGATCTCTGTGAAGAGGTTAGGAATCTGTTGTGTAACTGGTTGCAGGGTAGGGTCACTTG